GGCCAGTGCCATTAAAGTGTCAAAGCTTGTTTGTATTTGCAGTGTCCAGTCTTTTACTTTTCAGAGTATGCGTTGTAGGATATGTCATTAGGACACGTGAATATGTTTTCTATCGTCTAATTGTTCCTCTTTGACGCCTTATTCCAAATTAATTTATTCGACTTGCATAAGCTGCAGGGAGAGGCCCCATTACCAAACAATCTACAGTGGGTTTGAAGCTTGAGGGCAGTGCTACAAACTGTGAACACACAATAACATTATAACTGAGCAGCAGAGCCACACCATCTTTTAATGTTGTGTTTCCAGCTACTTGATGAATGTAGGTCCAATACTCCCTCTCCATTAAACATTTGTATCCATCAATTCTGGAGAATTATTTCAGGTCTTTAACAGATAAATGCTACAGGAGGCCGAGGAGGAAAGAGTCCAGAGAGGTAAAACTAACCGAGCAAGCTAACTTTACCATTGCCTGTAAGGGAGGCTCATCTCGGGGAACAGTATGTCTCAAAGCCGCGCTGTTTCAGGCTGTTTAATGTGGAGAAAAAGCTTAAATGGAACCTATTTTAACTAATTGCTTAATTTTACATGTTTAACTCATGGCAACTATTTACACAGCTAAGAGTCAATAATGATAAGTTGAACACCTGCACCATAATTAAATGTGACCTATGATACAACACGAAGGAATCTTCTAAAAATGCCTAATTATTTCAATTTCCACATTTGTGTACATCCACCTGAGCTTTGAGTCATGTCATGTTTTCATACCTAAAGAGTTATTTAGATAAAAACGGTTCCTAAAAGGTTATGCAAAGTCTGGATATAAGTTGAAACCCTGAGAAACAGTCTATGTTGGTGTAAAAGTGTACTGAGAATCCATTAAGGTACACATACCAACATAGACTGTTTCTCAGGGTTTCAACTTATATCCAGACTTTGCATAACCTTTTAGGAACCNGGGTTTTACTCCAGGCAGAATGTCTCCTGTAAGTTGCATCATTGCTAATGGCTTTGAGAATAAGCGTGGGGTCTTGCTAAATGCCTTGAATTGTAAATGATATTTTGCGGGAGAAAAACCCCAGAGACCCCCAACTCCGCGGGGTGCTGGTTTTCACTCATTAACAACACAACACAGAGCAACAAGCATTCGTTGTCACGAGGTAGCCATGAACTCGCCCCGATGGTATTATCTTTATTTGAGGGGCGTTGCCGGGGCGTGCGATGCATGGACCAACCGATAGGTAAAGGGGCCTTTGGCTTTTCTTGCCGGGGGGGGTGGGGTGCGGTGCGGTGCCCCCACAAATAGAATCAAATTCTGTGAGAAACACTGCCATTCTTTCAGGAGACGCATCAATAACATCAAACTCCATTAGTGTAGCTTCTCAGTGAGCAGTAGATGCACCTTGCTGAGCTATAATTAAATGTTTTCCGACCTCTGCGGGGCTTTTTTCTTTGATTCAGTAACACAGAAAAGGGCACGTTAACACAGAAACAGAGACCTGAATTGCCCCCCTCCCCCCCCCATCCCCCGCTGAGAGCAACACTGCACTCATGAATCCTCAATGCAAGATACAGTAAACAAGAAAACAAACTTGAGTCGAATCTAGCGTCATGTAGGCTTCTTCGATGTGTTCGCTGTGAAACATCAATATTTCAGGAACATTCATTTTTCACTTTCTTCTTCTCTGCTGCCACAGACACGGGGGTCTGCGGTTATTGGATATGGCTTCAACATCTCTGGTGCGAGGTCGCATATAAAAAATTTACAACTTTATCCTTTCCCCATCTGCTGCATTTTGGAGCAGTTTGCTGGCTTTTTGTTTTGGGATATGATCCTGTTATATTATTGGGTGACGAAACTACGGGTAAATACTAAATTATTTCTGTTCTAAAATGTACAGAAATGAACCAACAAATAAGAAACAAATGCCAATTACACACAGCTGTTTTTCCATAGTTCACAGTAGCACTACTTGCAACGACACCACAAGCAATCTTGTTTCTGAGCATTCATGGTGTCAGACAATCCCAGGGAGGATTTGTCTGGTGGGATCAGGTACCATGGCAGCGGCGGTGTTTGTTTGCTGAGGAAGAGAGGAGGAATCCCCGCTGAGAGACAGGATTTGGTGCACAGATACACACACATATATATTCAGCAAAGCCTGCATGTACACACAAATCATCCCATGCAATGTAGTTCACACACTCTGCACGCACGAGGCCACAGGCACAGCACACACACAAAGTTATTTGCACATGGATTTAAAGGCTGTGATTCAGTGGTGCAGCGGAGGGACTTTAGCCCATTTTGAGTTTTGGCAGAATTCTTTGTAACCTGATGGAGCGAGCAGTCAGAGTCTGGCCTTCCAACAACATGCCAGCATGGAAGCTATGTTATGTGATCACACCGTTGTGAGAGGAACATTTCATAGGCATGTGTCGGTTTTGACATTACGTTAAAGGTCCCCTATTACACTGTTGTTTATCAATATATCATAGGTCTCAGATATATATACGAACATTTCTATGAAGTGTTTGGCTCTAAACACCAAACAGATCATTGCAGCATTACCCATAATCCCCTCTGTTTCAGCCCTGTTTCCAAAGTGCTGATTCTCTGTCTGTTACTTTAGATGAAAATAAGGAGCCCCTCCCCACGCCCCTCTGAGAGAGATTTGGTTAAAAAAAAATCAATGGTGCTCTAGGAGGATATTCAGGTGATAAGGTGGGGGGGGGGTTACCTTGGTTGCTGATTGGCTAATGGTTACACAAGCCAACACATCGTTATGACATCATAAAGTGGCCCAAATCTGATCAGCTCATNGGTACACATGTATTATGTTAGGCATGGCAAGCTGCCAGATAAGAAGACTAAAGCTGGTTGTGTCATTATCTTTTGAAATGACTGAGAGAGAAGGTGCTTTTCTTTTACTATGCAAAATATAGTAGCATTGGTAACCATAATAACACTTGATCTAATAGCACATTATGCAAAAGAGACTCATTGCTATCACTATGTTCTTTCTTAAAAATCTTTATGTAGCTGCTAACGTTGTCTGTCCATCGTTTGGTACCTAGCAGACAGCAATCTGTGAGTTGATCATCATTTGTGCTTAGTATACAGTAGTGTCTTTCAGCTGCTTGAAACAATGTACATTGAGAGTGAAGCAAAACTGTAAAGTTCGCAGGCTGTAAAATGAAAAACTCTTACATGGGACCCCTTTCACATACACACAGTGATCTGGCAAATTGTTGATTAACAACAATTATTCAGAGCAGCTTTGAAGTGGTCTGCTACTTCACCAGGAATCCATCATTTAATTTCAAGTACTACTCTTTAATATATTATCTGTAGTTACTGCAAAATGTGATTTTTCAACATGTCATCTTTCAGGTCTTCTCCCCTCTCCTATAGGAGAATAAAACCCGATTATATATTCTTTGCAATTTTTTCTTCATAAAAGGTTATGTCAAAGGTCAGGTTCAAAGCAAGGGGCACGCCTGCAGTGCAGACCTTTAAACTTGCTTCTTAAACTGATGTAAAACATGACAAATGGCTTGTCAAGGACTTGTCAAAAGTAGGTCAAGATAAAAGACTTGTATAATTCAGTTTTTTAGAACCTAACATCCTCAACACTTTAACTCAGATGTCGTCCACGTGTTTTGTTCTTTGATGTCTCTGATGTTTCGTGTTTCAGAGACTTTATGACCAAAGCCCCGTGGCTGACAGAAGCCTGTCTGTCTCTCTGTTCATGTTGGTAGTTACTGTTGTAGAAGTCTGTCTCTCTTCATTTCTGCAGCATTTTTCTCTCTTTGTTTCCGTCTCTCGTCTGCGGTGGCGATGATAAAGCCCAGAGACAAACAGCTGAGCTGCCTCAGATTTCAATAACAAAGCTGTGTTTGAAGGTTACATCATTCCCCATCATCTGATTTCAGTGGTTACATGAAATGAAAACAAAACTTGCTCTTCAAGAAATGTGATTCGTGGAAAATTATGATGTCCTTGATAAAGCCTGAAAATCACATTACTAAACAACTGTAATAAAGTAATTACAAAACCTTTCTATTATTGTCTATTATTGAATTGTATCTGTGGGGAATGCAAGGTTGACACCAAAAGCCTGTAAAAGCATTAGGCCTAACTCTCTTTTTTGTACACACATTTTCTTTTATTGGGTGGGAGCAAAAACCTCAGATATAAAAAGTGGTCCAAGAATAAGCAAGGGTATTCTATACAAACAATGCAAATTAAATAAAAAATAAAAAGATCAGACAAGGAACTGGCAGACAGTTTCCAAATGACAAACAGATAATCATAATAAGCAGGCAGTTGTCTAGGTTCATGGCCTGAGTCTAATATAATTAAATAAACCACAAACAATGAGTAGCACAATGGTAGAAAGGTCAGTAGGCCTACTCCTTCCTTTCTTTTTGAGAGTTGAAGTCGGTTGCAAACAAGATGGACATAATGTTATGTTTTCATATAATTCAACACTCATACAACAAGACCATCATGAGTCACCCATAGGACAAAGGGTATCTGATAAAGTATAAAGATATTGTAAGTGAAAAATACATAGCCTATAATGTTTTGCGAAGTTTTAATTTTGAGAACCACAGATAATAATAATAATAATAATAAAGCTTTATTTACATTGCACTTTTCATACAACACATGCAGCTCAAAGTGCTTTATAAAATGACAAGTTAAAAACAAACAACAAGAAATTCCCCTCAGATTATTTAAGAACTTTAAAAGGTACATGCAGCAAATATAACATTTGATGCGGTTAATAGAATTGATGACAATACAAATTAAATAGAATACAATAAATAATGGTTTCACTCTGACAGATAAGACACAAGACAACTGAGTCGATTCAACAATATAAAATATAAAACCCCATAAAATGTTTCCCCGCACTTTAAAATACTCCTACTACTTTCTTCCTACTTCCGGTCCCGTGGCCCTCGTCACGTGACGCGGGTTATCTTGTGACGTGTACTAGTCGAGCCGGAGCTTTTGTTGTTGTTTTTCGGAGATGCAGTAGACCCGAGTGGACCCAGTTGTACTGTAAAATGGAGCGGTACGGGTCGGACACGGAGAGGGACGATACACCGCTGCTTCAAAGGGCCGAGGAGGAAAAAGTCCAGAGAGGTAAAACTAAAATATCTCCAGGTAACCGAGCAAGCTAACATTACCATTGCCTGTAAGGGAGGCTCATTTCGGGGAACATATGTCTCAAAGCCGCGCTGTTTCAGGCTGTTTAATGTGGAGAAAAAGCTTAAATGGAACCTATTTTAACTAATTGCTTAATTGTACGTGTTTAACTCAGGGCAACTCTTTGTTTACACAGCAAAGAATCAATAGTGATAAGTTGACTTAA